CCACAGTAGTTTCTCACCCAGTTGAAAATATATCTTGCATATTAGAACGGCTAGCAGCTATAAGTTCATTGCTTTCAGGTAGTTTCCCAGAGAAACGAGCTGATTCTCTCTATTGTTAGAACAGATTTTGTAAAGGTTAAGTGAGTCAGCTTGGTTTTGATTGTGCATGCTGGTAAGAGTGAATAGTGGCAGAGCGCTTTAATCTCTGTTGCCTCCAAGTATTGAATGCGGTGATTATCAAAGGTGCTGTAGGGTGACATTTTCCATTTATCAAGACATTCTCATATATTTGTTAAAAGGTGGCAGTTTGGGCATATAAACTAACCTTTGGCAATAGAGCATGGGAGAGGGAGAGAGGGGAGGGTGGCTCTGGGGCAGGGCAACTATGAATTAAGTGCTTAAAGCCAGCTGGCACTTCTAAAGATCAAGCCACAGTCTACACAGTAGAGTACCCAAAATGTGGTGCTGGATTAACTGCTATCCTAAATGCACTCTTTTTGCAGGAATCATTTGCCAGGATACTAAGTTGTACAAAGGTGCCAATGTCCCTCTAGGTTTTAGTTACACATTCACACCTGTGTTCCTGGAAAAGTCACACAGTGTATTTCCTCTTCCTCCCCCCCCTTCTTTCACCATTGTCAAAGCAAGCTGTGACCTATCCAGCTGGTCACACAATGGCCGTGGTTTGGAGCTCTAACAAGAGGACAAGACACGTTGAGCATTTTGCAACGTTAAGCTTTTGGCTTATTATGATGCCTCTTGGGTGGCTCCTCCTTTGCCAGAATCAATACAGTCTGTGCTCACTGAAGGAGACAGTCACCATGATTGTGTGACATAGGAGTCTTAGGATTTCTCCAGAAAGGAACAAAAAGTCCCTAGAAGTATCAAGACTTTCCCAGTTCTTTTTATTTTGATTTTACCTGCATGTTTTGCATCCAAGTCCATTCTAGAAATATCCTGGATTTCCCTCATTCCCTCCTCCCTTGTATCCTTTCCCCTTTCCTTCCTACTGATCACGTGTCACTTCAAGACTTAAGTCCAAAACACACTACAGAAACAATCTAGTTTGAGACCCCTTTAACTGCCCTGGCTCAGTGCTAGAGAATCCTCAGAATTGTAGTTTATTGTGGCACCAGAGTCCTCTGACATAGGACTTTATCACACGGGAGGCTTACCATCAGTAAATTGGCATTAAATCGTCCAAAATTGTCCAAAATGCACGATCAGTGTTCATACCCACATGTGCTTCTCCCATCAGTAAAGCATACATGGAGCTGCCATTTGGCAATCCCACTATTGCCCCAAATGGCAGCTCCATGATGCATTACTGATGGGACAAGCAAGTGGGGTTGCCTCCATGACACTTTACTGATGGGAGAAGCGCATGGGGTGTGAACACCGATTGCGCGTTTTGGACAATTTTGGACAATTTAATGCTGATTCACTGATGGTAAGCCTCCCATGTGATAAAGTCCAGAGGAGGCTAAATTTCTCAAAAACTATAGTTCCCAGAATTCCCTAGCATTGAGCCAGGGCAGTTAAAGCAGTTTCAAACTGGATTATTTCTGCAGTGTGTTTTACCCTTTGTTTCTTTGCAATGCCTGTCTTAGGTTGTTTTAGTATAACACAAACAGATAGCAATAGAGAGATATATTTCATTTTGGGAAATAGTAGGTTAAGCTAAACTGACCTAGGGAATGAGAATGAAAATTCCTTGTTAATGTCCTGGGAATACTTTGGGATGGAGTAAATGTCATGTGGATCTTCAAAATAAAATTGATTTGTACAGGAGCAAAAACTGGGACTATTTTCTTGTCTGGAGAGGCAGACAAGTCTTAGTCTTGAATGTGTTCATTTAAGGAACATCTTGTTCTTGTCTATCTCCATGTGAGTGGGAATGTAGTTAAAATATTAAAAATGGAAATACATGAAGATAAGGAATCTTGATGTACTGCAGGCCAGAACACTGGAGCATGAGCAGGGGTCCTCTGGTAATTAAGCAATCCACTAATAACCTGATCATAATTATAGTAGCTCCACTAATTGCTCTCATCTTACTGCAAATGGTTTTAAGCTCTCTAATTCCTGAACTTTGCTTATATTTGGTGCACTGTAATATATGTGGTTTCTTTAAAGCAAATCTTGAAAGGGAAAAAAAAAAACCTGGCCTAAGATCACTTTTGTCCGCTTTGAAACCACAGATCACTTGGGAGTAATATTGGAGGACACATTGTAATCCAAACTTTCTATATGACAACAATGATGATGGGAATACTTACATTCCTGCTGCCAATATTCAAAACAGAAAAGTACTTAAAAGTAAAGACTAAAATATGGTTGAAAAAAGACTAATGATAACACCCTGCTATTAAATACAGTCAGCTCTCCATATTCAGAGATTCTGCATTCATGAATTCCACCATCCACAACTTGAAAATATTAAAAAATAAACAAAAACAAAACAATTTTTTTAAAAAAAATCCCAAAAGCAAACGTTTATTTTGTCATTTTTTAAAAATCAGGGACACTATTTTACTGCACCATTGTATATAATGGGACCTGAGTATCCATGGATTGTGGTATCTATGGGAAGTCCTGGATACCAAGGGCCTACTGGGATTTTAAAAAGTTCTCTAAACTAGAAAAAGTCAGAAAAGAGTTTGATGGAGAAGCTTGATGGAGCATCCTGGGGTCCAGGTTGCAAAAAATAGGTATGGAAACCAGTGTAGAGTGTAGAGTGATTTGTAGAGTGCACTTTGTGACCCAAACGATATTACTTCAGTAATATTAAATGGAGATTGAAAAATACTCTATCCATAGATCTCAAACCACTGTGGTGTAGTGTATTGAGCATTGGACTATGACATTGGAGACCAGGGTTTGAATCCTGGCTTGGCCATGTAAACCCCCTGGGTGACCTTGGGAAAGTCCCATTCTCTCAGCCAAAGAGGATGGCAATAGCAAACTCCCTCCAAAGAAACTTGTCAAGAAAACCCCATGATAAGTTTGCCTTAGGGTTGCCATAAGCCAGAAACAACTTGAAGACACATAACAACAACAATAGATATTGAAGGATAATAAGAACAGACTTTTTCAGTAATACGTTAAACATAATAACATTACTTAGAATGCATTACTTTTGATGTAGTGTTACCAGTATCACTGCTTTTAAAATTTAAAGCTGTTGAGAGCATTAAAAGTGATAATCATCAGTACCTTAAATGGGACCCAGAAGCAAATATGAGCTTGTAAAGAGAATCAAGATTTGGAATGATAGTTTCCCTGTAACCTGTTTAACTTGCCAATAATAATAATAATAA